CCCTGTCACTTGTGACCGCCACAAGCTGCTGCTGGGGCTCTCCCACAGGGTCTGCGTCCGGGCCTGCCGGGGACCCTCGCTCTTCTCCGAGCTCCGTGGGGTGCTGGTTCCACCATAATGGCGTGCCAGGACCTGGGCCGCTCGGTCAAACTCTCCTGCCTCGATGGTGCAGTCGTTCCAGTGCCCCTGCCATGGGGCCCCTCTGAGCGCTGACCCCGGCCCTGAAGCCCAGGCAGGGTCCTCTCCAGCACCCTCGATGGCATGTGCCTCTCCATTGGCATGGACCGACAGCCCTGGCAGTGAGCTGGCCCCCGACAGGCGGCTCTGCCCAGAGCGGTCCCAGAAGCTGAAACTTGCCTTGTCCTCTCCGTGGGACACACTCGATGTTGGAGGGACCTCATCCTTGGTCCCCTCACCACATGGGAGGTGTGGGCCATCCTCCCCCACCTCGCTCCCGTTGGTTTCAGAGAAGCTCATCACCTGGAGGAGCTCGCTCATCAGGGAGGGCCCCAGGTCCAGGCGGAAGGAGAGCAGGGAGTCCGAGCGGTCCAGCTCGTCTTCCCCGGAGAAAGTGTTCTCTTGGGCCTTTTCCAAGCGAGGTACGCGAGGGATGGTGCAGAACCCAGACTCCAGCCCTGCAAGGCAGAAGAGACAGCTGGTGAGGGGAGGGAGGGCTGGGTGGAAGGAATCCTGCTTTACATTTTGGGGGCACACAGGACACTGCCACCGAGGTGGTGCAGGTCATGCTCCCATTAGTGGCACTGGCCTCTAAAGGACAGGCCGGTGTCTGCGTGGACACCTCCAAAGCCCAGAGTTACAGCAGGAAGTCTCCTGGTGGTCTCTGGGCTTGGTAAAATGCCCGTGGGGGCTGAGCCAGACAGGTGAGACCAGGAGATGGCAGCATTGCTTCAGCTTGCTTTTCCCTCTGAGCTCAGCCATCTCCCCTGGATGCTGCAGGAGCCCCAGACGCCCGCTCTGAGACGCTGCTCCAGACGTCCCTCCCTTGGGACCCCAGAGCTGTGAGGCCAGAGAAGAGCCACCCAGCTGTTCCATCTCATCCTTCTCACAACTCTTCCCCAAAGGTCCCTCCTGGACCGCGGCTGGCAGGGAGGGATGTGGGCATAATGGGGAAGGGGTAGATGGAGTCTCTTGAGAATATGGAGATGGAGAGGTTGGCACAGCTAGGGACAGCGTCAAAGCATCTGCATGGAGGTAGGGAAGGCCACGCCACGGGTCCCCTTGACCTTGCAACCTTGGTGTGAGCATTTTCCCACTGTTCCAACACCCTCTTATCTTCCTCAGGGAGGCTGCTCATGGGGAAAGTGTAGGGCTGGGGGGAGATGGAGTCACCCCCTTACAACTCTTTCATGCAGGCTGCCATCTGTGTGGGGCTGTGGGGAAGGGAGAGGAGGAGAAATCACCCATGCCCCACTTTGGGGGTGGGCATCCTAGAAGGAGGTCCTCCAAGGGTAACGAGCAAGAACTGTGGCTGAAAGCAAGGCTAAGGTTATCTTCTCACAGGGATTACCAGGACTGGGGACTCTTAAATGTCCTGTCTCTGCTGAGAGCCTAAAGTCCTTCAGTGGGGAAACTGAGGCACAGAGCAATGGAGGAGGGCTGCAGAGGATGCACTGTGCCTGGGTGCCAGCCTCTGCCCCACACTTCACTCACCGTAGGTCTGGTGTGTTTTGGAGAAGCTGTTGGAGGCACTTTTGAAGGAGAACTTGCTGGTCAAGCCCCGGCCACCACCACTGTCGTACATTCCCTCATTGAGCTGAGGCAGAGAGACGGGCGAGACAGTTGGTGGGGCGGGTGATGCCCCTGCTTGACCCCCACCACCCCGGTTCCTCAGCGGCGTCCGGCGGACGTGCCTCAGTGTTCGGGCGAAGAAGTTGTTGGGTTTGGCTGTGTCAGCCCCACCATGGTTGCTGAGGAAAGAGGTGTCCCCGAAGACATCCCCACCACGCCCCACGTGCATGGTGTGCCGAAAGTCCCCCAGCGGCGGGCTGATCATGTCCGGTGTCAGCTCTGACTTCAGCCGCCGCTTGCCGTGGGAGCCTGACACCCAGCTCAGCACTGGCAGCTTCCCCAGGCTCATGTTGCACTTCTCACCTCGCCTCCGCCTTTGAAAAAGTCCCCAAAAAACAGCCCTCAATGGGCTTCCAGCACTGGAGTGGCCTGTCACATCCCTGGCCTCCCCATCGCTCCTCCTCTGATGCACTTGGGGGAACAGCTCACGTCACCTTGGCCTGCAGCAGGTGGGAAGGGTACCTGTTCCCCTGCTTCCCTGCACTGCGTCGTGCTCATGAAATCACCTGCAGTGGGGATGTCCAAGATGGTGAGGATGGTGACAGTGTGGAGGTGTCCCCAAGGGGTGTTTATGGTCACCCTCAGTGCTGTACAGGCTGCTGGAAGCTGCGTCTGGCCACGGGCTTAGGGGTTAATTCACCATCATCTGCCGACAGCGGGTGAGTGGGAGCTGGTAGGGCAGCAGGTGATGGGAATTTGGGGTAGGCTGGCAGGATGAGCACCTCGGTCCCTTTGTCGGCCACCTAAACAAGATAAGAGAAATGGTGAAGCCCTTGGAGAGGATTTCCCCAGCTATGTTGGCTGTACACCCGGGACTGGCTTGGGGACGTTAAAGGCAGTGTGTGAGCAGCAGTGGGGAGGTTGCTACTGGCTGCCCCCCTTGCTTGGCCCTTCACTTCAGGAGGAAAAAGAAGGTATTCCCCAAAAAGCACATGCTTTCCCTCACTTCTCTGACGTTCCTTGGCGTGCCTCAGTTTCCCCTGCCTGCAACGCAGCTTTGCCGGACCCGTGCTGCAATGCAGGCTGAGGATTTCCCTCCCAGCCTCCTCCCAGAGCAGTGCCCTGCCCGGCTGCCCTGGCACCCTGGGGTGAGAAACCTCTCCCTCCTTTTTGCTATTCAGATGAACCCTTGGGGAGAGGGTGAGGCCTAGGGACTGCGTGCTTCTCAGGGAGGAGGAGTGGCGGCAAGGGAAAATGAAATATTTGTATATTGGTTTGTTTGTCCTCCTCTGGCTCAGTCCCCAGGTGCATGTGGGGGCTGAGGGTGTGGGGAGCACAGCTGCTTTGCAGGCAGGGGAAACTAAGGCACAGAGAGCGAGGTGATTGCTTGAAGTCAGAGGAGAAGGTGGGATGGTCTGTGCACTCAGGGGCATCCCAGAGGCAGGGAGGATCAGGTGAGCAGGCAGCATCTGGGCACAGGACAGCAGGGTTATGACCTCCATGGTCAGTGGGGAGGACAGTCAGATCGACAGGTCTCCCACTAGTGTGTGCGGCAAAGAGGTGGAGGGTCGGTTGGGGAAAGGAGAGGATTCAGGATGTGGGGCACCTCAGAGCATCATTGGTCTGGGTGCCCGCCTGGGGACAAGTCGCTCCCTGGGCTCAGTCCCTGCTCAGGGGCTGGAGGAGCAGGATGGAACTGGGTCCTTTCAGCAG